AGTTAAAATACCAGCATAAAGCAGTTGAAATGAGTACTATGGTGTGCTGCTGGTGCTAGGCTCCAACGTGAATCCGTACTTGCCAACAGAGCAGTTTGGGATATTGGTCCAATAGAGTCTACTTGTTCGTCATGTTTTCTATTTATATGACAACCCAATAAAAAGCATCTTGTTAATTTAAAAAAAAAAGGAACATATTGTCATTTAACTACCCACAATGAATGAACTACAGCAAGTTAAACATAGCTATGTAAGAGTTGCCATAGTGAATCAAAGTTATGATATATCTTGAAACATCTCTGTGCTAACAAGAGATATTCATTTTTCATAAGAAAACTGACTGAAAATCCTTGAGCAGGTTTATACAGATAATTTTCCAGAGTGCTAGAGCATATTCCAAATTCTAATATTAAAGACTGACTTAATCCATTCGTGTTTCACTTCCTTTTCATTTTTCAGCACTACCAAGTACAAATCTGTGTATTTTTCTGTTTCTGAATAAAGCATAAAATTATAAAAGTTTTTAAAAGACCACATAACCTTCTGCTACTCACCATGGCCTAAAATTATAAATGATGCAAATCAAGTCTCAGATAAATATTTAATCTGTTCATTTGTTTGTTTAAAATATTTTGCCCCACATTTCTCCTAAAAAAGGACCCACAGCAGCTTACATCACTAAAAACACAATTTTAAAAGCCAAAAACAGAAAATTAATCAAATATTAAAGAAGAATTAATTACATTATATTAAAAATGTTAGGTAAGTACATTATGAAAAACAGATTTAGAAGCAACAAAATATAAACCATCCCATTTATTTTCTTCTAGACAGTCAGTCACTTAAGGGAAAACCTGCCTGAAGAAAAGGGTCTTCACCGGCTTATGGAAGGAGAGCAAAGACAGCACCTGGACTCCTGTGTTCCAGAGTCTAGGAGCAGTGACAGAAAAGGTCCTCTCCTGTGTGCCTACCAAGTGTACCTGTAAGAGTGGTGGAACTAAGAGAAAGATCTCCCATGATGACCTTAAAACTCAGTAGGTCAATGTTATCCATGGTCAGCTTTCTCAGACTAAGCTTTAAGGGATATGAAACTATTATTTCTTGACACACGCATATCAAAAATTGTTTTAAAGGGTATCATGAAATTTTGCAGTCTCTTAAAGATGATCTTGCCATTTATTTTCCAACAGGTAGAACAGAAGGACTTCTAAGTTACTATATACATTCTCAATACAAATCTTGCATGTATATACATTTGTAATAGAAAAGCTCATGCTTTATGGGGGGAGGGTAACACCTATAGAAGCTATCAGTTTGTGTTTTTTGAAGAAACACTTGTAAACACACCAAGTGTCTTCAGACTTACAGAGCTGCCTGAAGATCCCGTTATTAGGTGAGAAACTGCATTACTTGCTGTGTTCCCAAGAATAGCTACAGTGGGCTGCGGTCATGAAAACTTATGCCAAATGAAATCTATTAGCCATTAAAACTCCACAAGACTTTTTGTTTTGTTTTGTTTTTTGTATAAAAACACTGATATGTGGAAAACACATTTCTTTGGTACAGTCCTATGGCTGTTTTGAAATCTGCATACTTTAACAGATTTTTGTCTGTTTTTTAAAGGAACAGAAAATTATACAAATGAAAAAGCATCTTGTTTTCTTTTTTTATACTTAACACTCAGTTCAGTATAGGTAGTCTAACTTTTGCAAAGATGGAGAATATTTTCTAATAGCTCATTATTTAGAAGTAGCTTATTATGCATCTTGTATTTGTCAATTATATTTTCTTTGAGCTGCAGTACTGGTTCCTCTTTCATCCTATCGTTACTCACTACATTCATTGTTGTTCCATCTAGATGTCCATCTCCAGTATTCTAATAATTATTCTATTTTGCAGTGTTTGATCATGAACCATCTACCAAAGATTCAGCTTGCTGAATCAGGGAAGGATGCAGTGTAATTCAGTACATGGATCTTAATGCCCACTTTTCAAGGAAAATGCCCACCTTCAAGGAAAAACTGCAAAGTCAAAACCCATTACATCACATATACTCTCTTGAAAACAGGCCCCACTGAACTCCATAATTTACATCTACATGGGTGTGTTTGGGATTGCACTGAAGAATCTTAGCATGTAATGCAGAAGGAAACTCATTTTAAGAAAGTAACTGAGGCGGTATATAAGATTTCTTGTTTGAAAAAAAATGTTGGCATAAACAAAGTGAAGTAAAACCATTTTTAAAATTTAATATCTCTGAGAAGAGGGTATACACCCAAGGGGCATTCAGATTGAATGTATCTCACATTTGTAGTCTACCTATCATCTTAAAGATTACTTCATCTAGAGTGGTCGAAATGACTAGATAGGTGGGGTATAAATAGAATAAATAAATAAATAAATAAAAATAAAATAAATTTAATGTCGAAGCAGGGCCAGAGGTGCTATTACTGCCACCTACAGATGATTTAATTTTAATCAAACAAAAGATCTTGAGGGGGAGGGAGGGAGAGAGAGAGAGAGAGAGAGAGAGAATATGGGAAACATCTAAAAAGTTCAAGATAGCTATTCCTTTTTAACCTGAAACATCCCCTGGGAGGCAGATGTAAATGCTGGGCCATAAACAGCCAATCAACCTGCAAAAGAAAAAGAAGCAGAGGGCTGAAAAAGTAGATGCCAGAAAGAGTAGAATCAGAGTTCAGTTGGAGCTAATCAAAGCTTAAGAAACAGAACTAAAGATAAGACAAGGAAATTATTGCAAACAGAGTTCATTTCAAGTTGAGGCCAAAATCAAGTCCTTAAAAGTGGACTGAAACAGGGATATAAGGAAACAGCAAGCAAGCAAGTGAATAATAAAGATGAGAGCTAGCAGGCAGGCAGACCACAGAATTATCAGGCTGACTTCAAAGAGTCACACAGAAAGGATAAAAAACCTGACTGTTACCAAGCTAGAGACCTACCCTGTTTTCCTGAAAATGAGACCTATCCTGAAAATAAGCCGTAGTATGAATTTTCAGGATGCTTGTAATATAAGCCTTACCCCAAAAATAAGCCCTAGTTAAGTGAAGCTCGCCTTCCACCATTGTGCAACAACCAGAAGAAGATGGCATGACCCTATTCGAATAAACGTAGATTGTACATGAAAAAAATAAAGCATCCCCTGAAAATAAGCCCTAATGTGTTTTTGAAGCAACAATTAATATAAGACCCTATCTTATTTTCGGGGAAACATGGTAGGTCTGGCCTGTAAGCATACTGTAAGCAGCCAGAACAAATAAAGGATTAATCTACAATATATTCTGGAAGGCTTAACCTACACTTTGCCTAGTAAAGTGATGATGATACTGTAATTGTGCAGGACCCTGTGGAGGAACGTACTGATCCTTCCCCACATCACAGTGTCAAGTGGGAGTTATAGGCTCCAGGTCCAGATTCAAGATGATCTTGACAGTTGGATAGATAAGAACTGTTTTTCTAAAGACTGTCCCATAAGATTCATGCCTTAATAGGGATATGAATTCAGGGCTTGGAAAGATCACATAACAAGATGCTTAGCTCTACATTCACAAATGAAGCTCCTTTAAGTGACAAAGGCTGTGTATTTGTCTCAGTACAAACTTTTTCTACTTTTGAGTGTTACCATTTAGCATGTTTTGTCTTGCATTTGTTTCAGGGAGAGGTAAAACTGAGCTTCATTTAGAGTGGCCTTTTAGGCCAGATGGGTGGGGTATAAATCAAATAAATAAAATAAAATAAATAATAATAAACAGGTCTGATTACTCAGGTATACTGCTCTTACTCTGAGAGGAAATGGTGTTGCTCCAAGGCTGACATGCTGTCAGCTTCTAAATATGAGCTGAGTGTTTGTTTGTTTGTTTTGTGTTTTGTAGTTTGTGTGTGTGTTTGTTTGTTTGATTGATTGATTGATTTTTATACCATCCATCTGGCTACCAAGGCCACTGCATTTCCTGTAAATTGAATTAAGTCCAGGAGTCTATCACACCTGCAAATTGTCTAAGTGATTACAAACCTCAAGTATTTGAATCCCCATGAACTACTTTACCAAGGACAGTTTAGGTACAGTTACAACCTTAACTACAGTAATTAGACTAGAAGGCTTTCAAGAAATATAAATATTTGCGTTCTTTTATTTATATTACTCGCTAAGATAGTTGTATTTCACTTACTCTTATTTCATAACACTTAGCCATCAGCAATAAATGATTTTTCCATTTTTCAAAACTGCCTTGAATTCTTCTGTGAAGGCTTCATCAGAGCATTGAAAACTAAATCAAAATTCCAACAAGAAAAGGAGGATTTAAGTTTAGGATTAAGCTTTGAAGTTGCTCCCAGGAAACAAATTATTATTGGATGGGAACCAACAAAGCAATTATCTAGTTTGCTGCTCATGCTATTGAGGGCTGCTGCTTGCACCCAGAGGGACCTGACACAAAGGCCTTACCTAACCAGGCTTGTATAAAAGAACAAAATATTACTTACCTTTATTCCAAAACACTTTAGTTTCCTGGCTATATGCCACCAATGAAGAAAAAAACTGTACTTTAAAACAGGTCTGTGATGACTACTTCTGAGATTATAGCCCAGAATCACATTAGTTCTGAATCAGAGTGATTAAGATATTCTAAAAGTAGGCAAACATATTTGATAATTTCAGATTGTTTTTCACCTAAGTGATAGAAGTTCAATTTTATGCAGAAAGCCAAGAATTAATCAGTGCAGAAGGCTTGCAAGTCTTGTTTTGACAGTACAATTAGGATTTCTGAGGTATGTTTTTAAGGTTACCATATGTCTCAGCTTTTCCAAGACATTTCTAATTTTCATACCATTCCTCCTCCTTCCAGCTATCTTCAGAAAACTCTAGCATGTTTCTTTTTCATGCAATTATTTAAAACATTTTAAGTTTTAATTTTGTTTTCATTTTCATAAAGCAGACCAAACAAAAAAAAGGTAATAAAAGCTGATTAATTTCTCAACCCTACCTTAACTTTAGGAAATGATTCAAGTAGACTGCAGGCAGAGCAAATGTGAAGGCACATACAACGGTTCCTTGAGGTGTCAACTCTTTTAGAAGCACTTTTATGGTCCATCAGATCTTTTATTACATATGTCTTCAAGAGAGACTATGTTGTATGCACTCAGAATGTGTTTTACCGCCACTCCAGGTGCTGAAAAATCTTGGAATTCTCCTAATTCCAGCTATCTTTTTCACCTGGCTCAAAAGCCTTTCCCATTAACACAAGCTGCTAAGGAAGCATGCCAACCCAAAGTGATACAAGGCCATTCTAACCAGAGTCCAACTGAGGGACTCCACTGATGGCAAAGGAACATTTAGACTAATTTTTCCTTCAATGGTCAAGCCTCTTCCAGCAGTTCATGACATTTTTGTTGACTTCTTCTCTTCTTTGAGCCACTACAGATATTTCTGAAGATATTCCCACCTTCCACAAATGTATTGACAGGTGTAAAGAAGCAAGAAAACACCCAAACCAAGTCATTTGTTTGTCAGGAACCAAACTACAGCCCTTGTGACTGCCCTCATCTGGCCCAGTGCAGCTTATTTCCAACTGACAGTTTTAACTGCCCTCAGAGAATTCTTTGGTTGCCCCGGCAACCCCCCTCACACAGAATTTTGACCCTTCTTGGATTGCCTGTTATTTGGCCATGATAGAATTTTGACTCTTGTGGGTGATCTTTACTTAACTGCTTGATTAAGCGTTTAAAAATATCTCATGGTTAAAGTACTATTTTGCCTCAGATTTTTGAGAACACTGAAATCCCTCAAGCACCAATGAGGCTGGCAGTTTGTTGTCTCTTACTGCTTGAAAACAGGCAGTTCCACTGACGGCTGACTCATGAGAATCTGTAGTTCATTGGCTCATCTCACAGCTGCTAATAGGCTTCATATCCATTTTCTCTGCTTCTGTGGCATCTCAGACGTAGGAAGCAGAGAGATATTTTGTTCAATATAACAGTGGTGAAAGCAAAGGTTTCTATTTTCTAGGACTAGTTACAGCAGGAATACTATAGGGAGATTTTTGTCAGGACTGCAGAAGGGTTAAACCATAGTCTTGATCCCACTCTTCCACCCCATCCCACAATTCTTTAAATTTCAAAAATAGTTCTGATTTGCGATGAACATTAAGTATTAGATTTCTGGCTGCAGGGCCAGAGGTTAGAAATTTGATTCTCCTCTATGCCTCATGGAAGACGAGCCAGCTTGTGTAGACAAACTGCACAGTCCAGGGGTGCCTTCAATCTGGCCATGAGACTGTGTTCACACAACCACTATTTTGAATGAGTAGTGATTTACTTCTATGTTAATTGTGCAATAAAATCCTTCCCTTGTGAACTGTTTCCTCTGCGCAGATGGGTAAATTAAGCATCTGTTGGGTATAGGTCTCAAGCCAAAGATTTTATGGTGAAAGAAACCTAACAATATAAATTAACTGAGAATAAATCAGTGAAGCCCAGGCAGAATATAATAGGATGTCAGTAGGAATCATTAATTCAGTCAGTCACTCCCACATTCTGTCACATATATATCCTGCCTTTCTCCAGTGCATTCCAAGGTACACGCATAGCTACCCACTTTATCCTCACAACTTTATCCTCACTTTATCCTAAGAGGCAGGTCACGAGAGAGACTGGCTATTGGTCACTCAGTGAGTACCATGTCTCAGTGGGGTCTTGAATCTATGCCTTAAATCACTTAAGTCCCAGTCTAACTACTACATCACACTGAGTCCCATTGTACTAAATATTAATATGACAGATTTACCAGAAGGAGTGAAAGTTTATCATAATCAGCTGACAATTGCTGATATAATTTTATATTGATTACCTACATTTATATTGATTTCCCGCATTCTTTGCCACAGTCTTTGCAAGATAGTTCCATAGGTGACGTGATGTATAGATTTTAGCTCTCACGGTGTCACAAGTCAATCCTTCCAATTTCAGGCACGATAAATTGCTTACGATCAACCCAACTCCAAATTTTGAGAAGTCCTCAAGGAAACACATCAACAACAGCACATCATGTCTTTCATACAGTTGCCTTCTTGCTTGCACCCAGCCTCTGAGCCCAGTCCCCATTACTGCCAAGAGGGAAAGGGCACAAAAGTAAGTAGCATGGGAAAGATTTTTGTTTGCTTGCTTGTTTGTTTGCTTGCTTGCTTGCTTGATTGATTGCAAACATCCCCATTGCTTCACATCCAAATTAAGGGATGTGGTGGCGCTGTGGGCTAAACCGCAGAAGCCTGTGCTGCCGGGTCAGAAGACCAGCAGTCGTAAGATCAAATCCACGCGACGGAGTGCGCTCTTGTCGCTTGTCCCATCTCCCGCCAACCTAGCGGTTCGAAAGCATGGAAATGCAAGTAGATCAATAGGGACCGCCTCTGTGGGAAGGTAACAGCGTTCCGTGTCTAAGTCCCACTGGCCATGTGACCACGGAAGATTGTCTTCGGACAAAACGCTGGCTCAGTGGCTTGGAAACGGGGATGAGCACCGCCCCCTGGAGTTGAACACGACTGGACAAAAATTGTCAAGGGGAACTTTTACTTTTTATAATAAATACATAAAATAATAAATAAATTACACATTCCCCTTAATGATTAGTTTGACCCTGTTATGAAGGTACTGTGTACCAAATAATTACAATTATATATCATAGAATCATAGTATCATTGTAGGGCTGGAAGGGACCTTGGAGGTCTTCTAGTCCAACCCCCTGCCCAAGGGAGGTGACCTCATACCATCCTTATACTATCCCAGACAGATGGTTATCCAATCTTTTCTTGAAAACCTCCAGCGATGGAGCAACCACAACATCGGTAGGCAAGCTGTTCCACTGCTTAACAGCTCTCACCATCAGGAAATTCCTCCTTATTTCCAGGTTGGATTTCCCTCTGATGAGTTTCCACCCATTGGTTCTTGTCCTACCCTCAGGTGCAATGGAGAATAAATCGATGCCCTCTTCCTTGTGGCAACCCTTCAGATATTGGGAGACTGCTATCATGTATCCCCTCAGTCTTCTCTTCATTAAGCTAAACATACCTAGTTTTTTTAGTTGTTCTTCACAGGCTTTAGCCTCCAGTCCCCTTATCATCTTTGTTGCTCTTCTCTGCACCCCTTCCAGGGTCTCAGCATCTTTTTTGTATTCTGGTGACCAGAACTGGACACAGCACTCCAAGAACAGCCTCACCAGCATATTATAGAGTGGTACTAACACTTTCCATGATCTTGATGCTATATTGATGCAGCCTAGGACTGTGTTGGCTTTCTTGGCAGCTGCACCATACTGCTGACTTAGGTGGTGGTCCACCATGCCACCTCTCACAGGTACTACTGTCAAGCCAGGTACCACCTATCCTGTACCTGTGCATCTGGTATGTGCAGGACCTTACTTTGCCTGCCACTGAACTGAGTCATTCGATAGGGCCCAATGTTCAAGTCTGTCTAGATCTTTCTGAGTGTTGAGTCTCTCTTCCAAATATTAGCAATTCCCCTCAGCATTGTGTCATCAACAAATTTGATGAGTGCTCCTTCAATCCCCTCATCCAGGTCATTTATGAAGAGGTTGAAGAGCACTGGGCCTAAGACAGAACCTTGAGGGACTCCACTGCACACTTCCCTCCACACAGATGTGGTTCCATTGAGTGCAGTTGGTCAGCCAGCTGCAAATCATCTGGTGGTTGCACTGTCTATCCCACTCTGTTCTATCTTATGCAAAAGTAGGTTGTGGTCTACCTTATCAAATGCCTTACTGAAGTCTAAATATACTATATTCACTGTGGTTTCCTTGGTCCACTAATTTAGTCACTTTATCAAAGACAGCAATAAGATTTGTTTGGCATGACCTGTTCTTAACAAACCCATGCTGGCTTCAAGTAATCACCTCGTTATTTTCTAGGTGCTCACAAATCTGCTGCTTGATCATTTTTCCCAGGATTTTCCCAGGTATTGATGTCAAGCTGATTGGTCTCTAGTTTCTTGGATCCACTTTTTTCCCCTTTTTGAAGACTGGAAACACAATAGCTCTTTTCCAGTCCTCTGGCAGTTTGCCCATTCTCCAGGACCTCTCAAAGATGTCATTCAGTGGTTCCAAAATCACATCTTCCACTTCTTTTAGTACCCTGGGATATAAACCATCCGGTCCAGGAGACCTGAACTCATTCAAAGCAGCTAGGTGTTCTTTTACTGCTTCCTTATCTATTTTGACCTGCTTCCCTCTCCTGTCTCCCACAGTGCTGCGTTTGATAGGGTGGACCAAGTTTTCCTTTTGCATAAATACAGATGGGGGGAAAAGAATTAAGTAGTTCTGCTTTCTCCCTGTTGCCTGCCACCTTCTTGTCATCTTCTCCCAGTAGTGGACCAACTATTTCCTTGACTTTCCTCTTGTTCCTTACATGCTGAAAGAAAATTTTTTGTTGTTATTTTTTTGGCATTTGTTGCAAGTCTTAGCTCATTCTGAGCCTAGCCTTCCTAATTCCATCCTTGCAGATTCAAGCTATTTGCTGGTATTCTGTTCTAGTTATGAGCCCCTTTCTCAGTTTTTTATACTTATCCTTTTGGTCCCTTAGTTTGTCAGAGAGCTCTGTGTGCATCCACTCCAGTCTTGTCAGACGTCTCTTGTTTTTCTTTCTCTGTGGTATTGTTTTGGTTTGGGCTTTTTTATTATCTCTCCTTTCAGGGTTTCCCAAGCATCCTGAACTGTTTTTTCCTTTAGGGTTTCCATCAATGGAGTCCTTCCTATTACATCTCTTAGTTTGTTAAAGTCAGCTCTCTTAAAATCTAGAACATTAGTCTGACTAAAGTAGTCCTGTGCAGTACTTTAGTGCACTACTTTCAAAGGGTTCTATGTGGCTGGTGCATTTGTTTCAGATAAATATTAGCTTTCTAATGAAGATGATTCTTCTATTCATATTATATCCTGCTCTTAAGTATTTAAGTATCTCTAACACCAATTCCTGCAGTCCCCCTCTTGTTCCATTGGACAGCTCCAGCACCAGTGAAATATTTAACATGTTTGGTGCTTTGAACTGCATGGAGGGATACTGCGTTCTCCTTGCCCTAAGAGTTGTTTTCTCCCTAATAATAATAATCATATGCCACCACATCAATTCTGACTTATGGCAACTCTTTTTCACTGTTCCAGGTAGAGAATACTCAGAAGTAATTTACCAGTCCCTTCTTCTGGGGGCATCCTAGAACTGTGCAGCTTGCCCAAGGCTCTACTCGCAGGAAGCACAGTGGGGAATTGAATTCCCAACCTCTGGCTCTGCACCCTGACCTAAACCACTGAGGTATCCAG